TGTTATACTTAAGCCTTTTGTCATGTGTTAAATGATCGCACATTATTATCATAAATACTTTTGCCTTACTGAATAATATTATATAAAAAGTATTACACTAAAGTTATATTTACTTTTTTTATCGAAAAAATAACTTTTTGTTCAGTAATCTGACATATATTAATCACAGATAATTCGACTCACAATAATATCAATGTTAAAATTAATTGTACTTACGAGTATTCTGTACCAGCGTACAAGTATCCTGATTGCAAACATAAGAAAGCACAACGATCTGGAGAATTGTTCCCTTTAAAAACATGATAATAACCAGTAAGTAGACGTAATGCTTTGTCATCTTTGAAACATCCTAAACTGACAGGTTTCTCTACAAATCCTGGAGAGTGATGACATAGAGACTGTATTCTTTCTGGATATAATAATCCTTGTTGATTAAGGCACGTCACATTGACAATGCGCTGTTTGCATGTTTGACTTTGTGCACGTGTTACAGCACTCACTGCTTCTCTGCCATTAAATTCACAAGACGGTAGAAAGTTTAATGATTTATGATCTAATTTTATTCTAGTAGTTTGGTTTCGCTGAGATTGTAAGACCTTATTCCCATTAATTTGCTTATCGGGTGGAAGCTTCAATTGACGTAAACCTTTTGGTAATCCTTCATCTTCTTCGGATTGAGATACATCATCCTGTACAATAATATTAAGAACCATTAATGTTTTCACAGTTACCAACAATATTTAAATTGCAAACAATAAAAAAAAAACAACTGGGACTTACTTCTCCTGAAGATAATCGACTAGATTTTCGATTTCGAATCTCCAAACCAAAAAATGTATGTGCTAAATAAATTTGTATACACAGCACAGTAATACCAAATAGAAAAAGTATTCGATATTTTCGTAAACAACTAGACGATCTACTTATCGAATGGTTCTTTGTTATAACCATTTTTATTGCTCTAATTCATGACAAATGTGGTCTTTAAATTTTACATAATTTCATAATTGTCATAACCAAAAACAAAGGCAATTTTTCATGAGAGTTCGAAGGAACATGTTCTACTCATGCATTCGATGTTACACGTAATATTACATTCACTGATGCATAGTTTGTATGTACATTTTTTTTTTATGTACAAGTCTGATATAACAATATGTAATTCATGTAATGAATTAATGGAACGTGTAAGTTTGAGTTCATTACAATACTTAGTAAATATTCATTGCTATTGCCGACACGTATTGCATGTATGTGTCACATGTTTAAGTAAACGAGAATGGATGGTTATCCAAATATCACAAAAATAATTATATGAGCAGTCATTATTTGAACGGATAACATTTATTACTACTACATATGCATGTAAAATTCAATAAGCATCTATTCTATCACAAAACAGTGAGATGACACTATAGCTATATATGTATGCATGTACATAGTATGTAACAGTTGTGTTATGTCACTCGATGTTAAACTTTATTTTATACTTTATGTATCAAATTTAGATAAAATAGTCTTCGTTTTTTTTTTGAAAAACAGAAGGAAAATTAATTTATACGAAAATACATAATACTACATAAAATGTTTCAAAATAATGGATCAACTAATTCTTTTTCATCATGTCTTCTGAGTAGATACAATGTACGTAATAGGTGGTGACAGTTACTGATGGTGGAATTAATTAATTGAATCTCACAGGAAAATAGAGAAAAATATTAATTATTTATTTTAATTAAACATCGTTATTGAATTCTTATTTCAATGGTTTCAAATTATTTACTACGATCAACTATAAAAAAATTTCTGACCCATCAAGAACTAATTTTTACCTTGTACGATATCCAAAATGTAGAATACATATTTTAATTATTAATACGCATAAATACTCTGTGCTTTTAAGTTTATTCAATTATGGGCGCTAGGTGCGATAACATTACAATACTATTTAAATACTTCTCAAATTGTCTTGCTCAAAATACTTGCACTTAATCCTTCACTATTTTGTATTTTGGCGGGTTTCATTTCTCACGTGCAATGTAGTTCCTCGCGCTCTCGCATTAATTTGGTAATAACAATGGCTATCAGAAGTGAGGACCATCAACCAATCAACGAAAAGAGTAGGAAAAGTATATTCTACTAAGCAAATCTGTTTTGTAAATCTAAAAGAAAATATCTTTCAAGAACATAAAGATGATGTTCATAACAAAATGATCACTTTGTCATTACTGTTCTATCGCGTCAATTTAGGGTACATTTTGTTTTCACTTCTCGAACACTAGATGGCACTAATTATTTGTTGAGTTTTCATCATCTTTATACGTAACTCTAGGTTCTGATTTCCTTTCGCAAGTTGGAAGCAAAGTGGAAGGTATGTTGAGTTGGAGGTTTTTAAATATTACGTTAATTTGATAATAGTTTTTTGATATATTTTTACTGATTTAGATGTAACAATTTTTTTAAATATATTTGTACGTATTTTTAAGTATTATACCAATCTGCTTTAATGTATATAGAGCAGAACGGAATCGAACACATGGCATGTTGCAACAACATGTTTTTCGCCGCCTTTTAATAAAGTTGCGTTGATAACGAAAGAAGAACGTTAACACTTTTTCAATGTTATAATACTATACATTTTCTTTACGAAAAGTAAATTTGATCTTGCCATAAATATTGGGAACAAATAATTTTGTAGCATATTTTACGTTGATATGAAGTGCATTTATTAATTATAATATGCATTAATGTTTGTCTAGATTACAATATTACAAAATATCTAGATAAAAGTGTTGGTATGAGTTTTATTGTACGAAATATGCGATCATTGCAATTGATCGAAACGTTGTTGTCGGATATATGATATAAAGTGCTTTTGTTTTAACATAACAAAATACAAGTAGGTAGGTACATTTAATATTTTTGGAGTTTCTATTTCATTTAATAATCAATATATGTATAAATTCAGTTTTTTCTATACACAATGTATAATATGTTTGGCTTAAAATGATCTTCATGGAACAAATTTAGATGTAGAATCACCTTTTATTTGGAAACATGCGTAGGGTAAAACAATAATTATTTTTTTTTATATTATATACTTGCATGTATAACATGTACAGGTAGGTTTTTATGAATCATTATATCCAATATAGTGACATTTTGTAGATCAATTCTTCTCATTTTCAGAATATTAGAATTGAAGAAATAATTCATTTTGCAAAGAAGGAACATCATTCACAATGCCACAGAACGAATATATTGAAAGGCATCGTAAATTATACGGTCGCCGGTTGGATTATGAAGAAAGGAAGAGGAAAAGAGAAGCTCGTGAACCCCATAAACGGGCAGAACGTGCTCGTACTCTACGTGGGATAAAAGCAAAGATATTTAATAAAGAAAGACGAAATGAAAAGATTCAAATGAAAAAGAAAATCAAATCTCACATGGAACAGAAAGTGAAGAAAGACTCGAGAAAGGTGTCAGATGGAGCATTACCAGTATATTTATTGGATCGTGATGTTAAGAAAGATGCAAAGGTATTATCAAATATGATAAAACAGAAACGCAAAGAAAAAGTTGGTAAATGGGATGTTCCAATTCCTAAAGTTAAAACACAGTCAGAGTCTGAAGTTTTTAAAATATTGAGGAGTGGAAAAACCAAACGTAAATCATGGAAAAGAATGGTGACAAAAGTAACATTTGTTGGTGAAAACTTCACAAGGAAGCCACCAAAGTTTGAAAGATTTATCAGACCAATGGCGTTACGTTTTAAAAAAGCACACGTAACTCATCCTGAATTGAAAGCTACATTTTGCATACCAATTATTGGAGTAAAGAAAAATCCATCTTCCACTATGTACACAAGTTTAGGTGTTATAACCAAAGGAACAATAATTGAAGTAAACATATCAGAATTGGGATTGGTAACACAGTCCGGGAAAGTAGTTTGGGGAAAGTATGCACAAGTCACAAATAATCCTGAAAATGATGGTTGTATTAATGCTGTATTGCTTGTGTAAAATGACACCATTAAATTATGATTATTGTTATGTGATTGTTCTGTACAAATAAAAACCATTTATAATAAAAGCTACATTCGACCATAAAAACATTTTGCCTAATTATTTCATTATACATTTAAAACAATATTATTTAGAGTAATTTATATTTATATAATTGTATAAATTTTTAAATCTTGTTTTGTGAAAGACTGAGATTATATAAAGTTGTGTAATTTTTTTTTTGCAGTTCCACATTGCCTTCAATATGCAGATTTTCGTAAAAACACTCACTGGGAAGACCATCACCTTAGAGGTTGAGGCTTCTGATACGATAGAAAATGTTAAAGCTAAGATTCAAGACAAGGAAGGTAATAATATCAAATATATTTACATTTAATGTATTTACTAATAAAAATATCATTGCAGGTATTCCGCCAGATCAGCAAAGATTGATCTTTGCTGGTAAACAGCTAGAAGATGGTAGAACCCTTTCAGATTACAATATCCAGAAAGAATCTACTTTACATTTGGTATTACGTCTGAGAGGTGGAGCTAAGAAACGCAAGAAGAAGAATTACTCCACTCCAAAAAAAATCAAGCATAAGAAAAAGAAGGTTAAACTTGCAGTACTCAAATTCTACAAGGTATATAAATGTTACCCATAAATCTAATTTGACCAATTATTCCATATGATATTGTCTTAAATTAAAGACACGAAAGAATATCCCTTTTTAAAAAATGCTTGAAAAATGCTTTATTGTTCAGGTGGATGAGAACGGAAAAATTCACCGATTAAGGAGGGAATGCCCCATGGAACAATGCGGTGCAGGAGTGTTCATGGCAGCAATGGAAGATCGTCATTACTGTGGAAAATGTGGTTACACTCTTGTTTTCAATAAGCCGGAAGATAAATGAATTGAAAGCTTGTACCTTCATTAAAACAATTTTATAAGTATAAATATTCTATTTGTTATTTTTTTTGCCTCTGTCAATAGATAATTGAAACATAATTATAATTTTAGATTGAATACAAGATAACCTAAAATATAATGACCTCATGTGTGGTTTTAAAAATTATTTATTTTTTCCTTTACAATATTCTAATATACATTATCTATACACATACACAAATATACATGCCTGTATTTATAAATGTATGTATGTTTTTTATATATATATATATAAGATGGGCATCAAAGGAGATCTGATAGATTTAATATTTCATAAGAAAGAAAATGTAATACTACATATCTTTAGAATCAATAGAGAATTACATTTCCTATGTGTCAAATATTTTGTATGTTGCTGCACATCTGGTGCTTAAAAGATACAGCATCACAGCATATTTCTGTGCCACGTTATAAATTATATACAAGTGTGTGTAACGATTATTAATAATACCCCTCTTATTTGGAAAACTTAAAGTTTACTGTAACGATACTTTTAAATACGTATCATATTACAATAATCCTTTCATTTAAATATTGTATACCTTATTACATCTCTGAATAACTTTGTTGCGCTGTATGCGAATTAAAATTTTCTACACTTGGTTTTAAGACCGAGAACATTTTTCCTGATGCAGTAGGATGAATACTCATTTGTAGCTCCATTAGTAACTCTTCTGTCTTTAAAATTATATTGAAAATATAAATTTATATTTTATATGATGTGTGATATTATAATTTTATAATATTACATATATAATGTGCGACATACCTGCCTAAGTAATTGTGCAGCAGTATGTAGTACTCTTTGCCATTTTCTCATTTCTACATCATGCAAACTTTCTTGTTGTTGTAATAAGTGGATCCAATCTTCTTCAGTCTTTGGAGTATTCCTAAAAAGTAGTCACGTGTAGACACTTTCTAATTATATAGTCTCATAAGTATTAAACATAAAGCACGTACTTTAACACATGTAAATCCATAATTGTGTAGGCTGCAGCTTCTTCCAAACTCCATAGTTTATAATATAATAGGCCATTAATTACCATCAAGAATAATACAGCAATTAAAAGCATTGAACTAATTATTATATTTGGATTGCCCCGAACTCCAGAAGCTGTATGTTCAAAATGATTTACAATATGTAATACGTTGAAATGCAACAATATGATATCGATTTATTTCTTCACATACCGGTATTATCATTACTATGTGGCAAATTCAGAGCATTTTGTAAACTGGGAGAAACGAGATCTGAAGAAAGAGGTTGTAAAGTAATACCAGTTCCCGTAATTCGACGTCTTCTTCTTGCTTTTCTCTTTAACCCTCCAGTATTACTAAATTCTTCGCACTCGATAGTTAGCGCTTTTATTAGACTTGTAAAATATTCTTCTAATCCAGCCCAACAACTTTTTTCAATGACACCTATTTTTGTTGTAAAAAATAATTCATCATCAATCGCAAATATAAAGTCTATATTATTTAAGTACTTACTTTTTACAAAACCCCATACATTCTTTCTATACTTTATTTGAGCATAAATTGTGAGATCCGTTTCATTTTCCGAGATACTGTTTATACAATAATGAAGTTGTACATGAAATGAATCAGCATACAGAATTCCAGCATTTACAGTGTCCACGTCAATACTATATAATTGACCTGGTCTGCTACATGGCAACATTATCTGAAAATATTTTATCATATAATATAGAATAAAAGAAATACTTCAAACTTTTACATTTTATTTAATTATTGATAAACTACTGTTCAATAATTACCTGAGTTTCCGTAATATGAGAAGCTTTTGGTCCAATGGGTTGGGACAAAGCTATTGTAAAAGATAAAGTTCTAACTTTTTGATCCGTTTGTTCATTTTGTGTCCAAGATGATTGTACTAAATCTAAATTAATCGAAACATTTGTATGTAACAAATTAATTACATATTGGATTAAATGATCCCTTATATATAAATGAATTACCTGTAGTTTTACGAGCTGTTTGGAAGTCTAAGAAAAACTTAGAATTTGTAAATAACAAAGTGAATAAATGATCAATATGAATGGGCAATGTGGCCTTTCCAATCAGGCGTCCTTCATGAGGTGATGTACACACTACATTGCTTCGAATGCTTGGCTTCACTAAAATCAGTAAATATATTGTGTAACAATACATACAGAAATTATTTTTTCATTTTCTATCTATCGTTTCAGCAATAGATGAAAAAAGTTAAAAAAAAATGATTTTTCATAACAATATAAGATAAAAAAGAACCAATTTAGAAAAACATAAATCTAAGTTTTATTACGTACATCCATGTTTTTCAGCTTCACTTTCTGTTGTATCGCTAAGATCTGTCGCATCCAAAGTAGGATCTGGTTGTGACCGATGTTCTTCTGTTCCAGTTGCCAAATTTTCTACATTACTGGTTTCGAGCTTTAATTTTATAAGGGACAGATGTTGTACAAAGAGAGAATATATGTGTATATAATTGCATCATTTAATTGCAAATTGTTCTTGATATGTTTATGTTATAAAATACCTCGGGAAACGATTCCACAGATAATCTTGTTGATAACTTCTCATCATCAACTGGTGGTAATGGTGGAACATAGTCTTCATCATCCGATGTTAAACCTAATTCATCACCATAACTTGAATGAACAAGTTGCCACATTTCCGCTGAACTCATTGACTAAAAAGTTAAATATATTATGCTTAAAATTATAATTTGAACATGTTATTTCACATGTCAAATAAATTTATTTATTATGGTGCATAATACAAAATATAGCGTAACAGTGAAATGTACCATTATGAAGTCGGAGGCTTCATTTTCGAAATAAAAGCAATTAAGTGTGGTTCGGTTTCCGTCACGCACTTCTTAATTACCACATGCACATATTGATACGTGTTTAAGTGATAAGTTCGAATTTTTGTATTTGTTTTGACAATATTTCATATATCAGAACAAATAGCTTCAGTAAATTCAAAAGGCCAAACATAGTAGCTTTAATGGAAAAAGAAAGTAATAGATAACTTAG